CGCGAACACTCCAGTACAACTGACACAATCTCTCTTCCTCTTTTGTCTTTTGTTGTGCTCCTAGTTCTTATAGGAAATCCCAAACGCTTCCCATATGCTTTGTAAAATTCATAGATCGCTTCTCTGCTTTCAAACTCCATACCAACTTCTGGCTCTGTACCAAGTTCACTCTCCTTTACCAACCCTTCTCCATCTGTTATGGTAAATTGCTCATTTATTGATGCATTTCAACACACTTAAACTTACACACAGACAGTCATATATGCACACACAGACAATTCCAAACTTTAACATACCCGTTGAATACTACACAAGCAAATCAGTCTTCCACTGATTTCATACAAAAACAAACACACACATAAACAAGTGACACCTTCTACAACTTGCATGTGTCACCGAACGTTTGCATGTGTTTAAAACAATTTAGTACACACAGACAGTGATATTTGCACAGACACAGACAATTCTAAAGCTTCATAGACACTTTGAATACTACTAAGGGGTAAGCACAGACAATTTTTAACTTTCACATGATGTATAATTTTTGAAGAAACATATGCATCAGTTGAAACTAACTTAGGGGTACACAGACACATTGTGTATCCACCACTATTTACGTACACAAACAATTATACACATAAACACATAAGAACATGCCTGTGAGAAGAAAGCTGTTATAATCTTCATTAAACTACTAAAAACATGAGATGAAGTCCTACCAAGGTCAGAAACGACGTCCATGGCCGCCGGCGACGTCTGTCCTTCATCCTCTCCGCCTAGGTCCGTCTCAACGTCACCTTCTCCACGTCCGGCTTTCTGTCCATCAACTTCTCCACCTCCGGCTTTCTGCCCAGAGCCATCCCCGCCTCCGCAAGTCATGTCGTCACCGTCGAGTTCTCCAGGTCCGTCGGCGTATCCTGCTTCTCCACCTCCGGGAACAGCATTCAACAAGCCCCAAAACTCAGGGTCGTTTCTCACCATGCTCTCGTCCATGTAAAAATCCATGGTGGAGGAAGTAAAATCAGAAATTATCTTTGCTTGTGCTTATGATCGTCGAAGGAAGAAGAGAGGAGGGGCGGGTGTTTTGATTTTCAAGAAACGGGGGGAGTGAGGGAGTTATGCGAGTGAGGTGAGGGGAAAAGGGGAGGAGGGAAAAGTGGGGGTAATTTTTTTGGGGGCTTTTATAGTGTGTATAGGGTGGGTGCAATTGTGTGTACAAAGAGCATTATTGTTTCTATATTGTTGTGGAGAGAAAACTTCATGTCAGGCCGGCCTGACGGGCTGCCCCGTCCGGCCGAGCCCGTTTGGGCACCTTCCCGGTTGAATTTTTTGATGAAATTTTTTGAGCATGTTCCTCGTCAAGTCTAGTTTGTCCATACCAAATTTCAGCTCAAAATTCGATCGGGAAGGTTGTCAAATGATTTTTGCAAGTTAACTGGTCCGGAATATGTATATTAAGAGGGCCAACACGGAATCCGATCCCCCTATGTTTGGGACAAAGAGGTGTGGTGGGATTTTTAAGAAAAAGTAGATATATGTGGTTGATATTAATTGATAAAGTGTGAATAGTGTAAGAATGAATTGTAGCCACCCAAACATTACCAAATATGGTATGGGACAAACTTAATGGGACGGACGAAAAAGGTAAAACGGGACAAACTTAGGGGGACGGAGGGAGTAATTAATGAAAATAATGGCCAATGTTGAAGACGAAAACATTAGCTATATTCACTTTGTTGAAAGAAAATGAATACTCCCTCCGTCCCTATATTATCTTCTCCTTTGACAATGCACACTAATTAAGATAGTGAGATTTGTGTGGTGAAGAGTTGTGCAGAGGAGACAGAAATGTGTAAGAATGGTTGTGAACCACAATTTTTTTGCCAAAAAGGAAAAGAAAGATAATTTTGGGACAGACTAAAAAGGAAAATTTGAAGATGATTCAGGGACGGAGGGAGTATATAACTATATGCACTTAGTTCTTGCTGCGATTATGGTTGGCTAGTTCTGCCGGCCACCGTATCCTATGAAGCACGGATACTTCGCTAGGGTAGCGTATCGGCGTATCCGATATGTTCCCGTATCCGATACTCTAGGATACCCGTACCGTACGTTCCCGGGCCGTATCTGCAATTTTTAAAAGTTTCCATTTTTTTTTTGTAATTTTTTGAAAGTTTCCGATACCCGTATCCTGACGGATACCCATATCAATTTTTTTTTTAAAAAAAACCCCAAAATTTACTTAATAAAATTCTAAACAAAAATGAAAATCTTAAACTACATTTTACTTGGTAATCAAATAATGGGCCTATATGGCTATATCCGAAATTCCGAATTAAGTCATTAACTCATACTCCGAATTGGATACTTGCACTTTTAATTTCAAGATTGTAGTTGTTTGACTTATTTCTCATTTTAAATTAATAACTTATGGACTGTATTTATATTTCGAGATGACTAGTGTATATGAGAAATATTATGAATTTATTATTACCAAGTATCTTGAAAAAGGAAAATGTTTCAATGCAATGAATGGGTAGACATCATAGGATATTATGTGTGTGTGTGTGTATAGACCCCCTATAACTTTTAATATTTGTAAATACACCCCCATAACTTTTAATATTTATAAATATTATATATATATATATTTTCAAAAAAAAACTATTTTTAATACTTATAAATAGACCCCTATAACTTTTAATATTTGTAAATACACCCCCATAACTTTTAATATTTATAAATATGGCCCCGTATCCGTATCCTACTTTTTTTGGTTTTGACGTATCCCCGTACCCGTTTCCGCGTTTCCGCGTTTCCGCGTACCGGTATCGGTGCTACATAGACCGTATCAATACCACTGCGGAATCGTTTCTCCTAATAACGTAATTTGTAATGATAAAACGTTGGCTTTTTTTAATAGGAGATCAGTTGAAAAATCGGTAACTTCGGCCAGTTTTTTTAAGCTTGACTACAATAATTCCAACAATTTTGAATTCGTTTTAATAATTCTAAACTAATTATACATTTTTGAAAATAAAAATCAATTATATTCATATATAGTCGCAATTGTATGTTGTGTCAGTTAAAAATAGTCTCAAATTATTACTCCGTACGATAAACAAATTACTCAAAATATGGGAAATGCGTAGACTAAGTGCGTAGTATAATAAAATTAAGTATTTTTTTATTTCAAAATATCGCTTATTTAGTCCGAGTAAAAGAATAAGCTTTTATATATAGACGCGTATAAGTCCTATCTTCGTAGGCTTAGATAGATAGGTTAAGAATGGGCTAGATTAGGGTAATGTTAGATTAAGCTTGGGGTGTTGGGATGTTATGCAGCCTTCATGCTATATAGGCCGCCCTGGGGCGTTGTGCTGTCTCAGTGGCACCGTGTGGCACCACGGGGCATGTAGGTGTAGGAGCAATGGGGAAGGGGCAAAATGAAAGGGGGGGACAAAGAAGCTAATAGAAGAATAAAGAAATGGGAAAATAAGAGAGAATTGGGAAAGGAAGCAATGGCAAAAGAAGAAGAAATGGCAAAAGAAGAAACGGGGAAATGGCAAGGGATTTGTTAATAGTAATTTTTTAGCGCAAACATCCCTCTCACACTCTCACAGTCTCACATTGATGTGAAAAATGCATGTGATAGATCAAATTTTAAATAAGAAATGTGGTGGCATTTTGATAATTATGAAATACTTTTGATGTAAATATTGTAATAAATGTGTACTAGAATATGGAAAAAATGTACATCAATGTGAAAGTGCATTGTATTTAAATTTAAAATAAGGGGCATTTTTTTATATGTACGACTCCGTATCATATTGGAGATCTTCCTATTTGCGAGAAAATAAAGGAACAGATTGGACAATGTGTTGCTAGCATTATAAACGGGTATTTGGTCAGCAGCAAAGGTCACTTTTCTGTACAGTGAAACGCTACAGTGACATGAAATAAAGTGACATCCACCACCACCTCCCACCACCTCTGACCGGTGACCACCGCTGGCCGGAGACCGTCGCCGGTCATAGTGACAACGACATAGTGACACCGCCAAAGTGACGCCGCCACAGTGACGCCGCCACTACAGTGATGCCGCTACAATGACGCCGCTACAGTGACGCCGCCAACGTCAGAAAATATGTCACTGGATTGTTTCAGCTCAGTCAAAATTACCACGGTCGACGCCGCTGCTGATCAGCCGCCACCCCAACTCCCACACATCCGGCAACCACCATTGTTGACGGTCGCCGCCCTTCCGCTGACCACACCTGCCCCTCCCCAGACCACCATCCCCTCCCCAACCGCACACCCTTCCCCTCCCCCCTCCCCAACCCACCAGCCCCCTCTCCAACCCCAACCCCCTACCCTGAGACACCCAACCCCCTGCAACTCTGGCACCACCACAACCCAGCCCCTCCGGCACCACCACACCCCAGCTCCCATGCCCCCTCTTCTACTGCCCTGCCTTGACCAGACCAAACCCTAGCTGACCCTGTCCACCATTTCTACCATCTAAACCCAAATCTTAGCCTCTGTTCGTCTAATAGCCTAACGTCGTCCACCACTGCGAGTTCTATTCATCAGCGAAAGGTGACCGATGTCGGCCAGATGCTCCACATCAAGCGGAGACCGTTCAGATCTGACCTCTAAGAACGGTGGTATGCGGAAAAGAAAGGAGAAGAAGAAGAATTGAGCCAACAGAGGAGGTGAGCGGCTCAAGCCAGTGGGCCGACTTTCACGTGAGAGCAACTGCGTGAGAGACTGTTGTCCGCTTGAGAAGGAAAGGCGTCTGGTTGTGTAGGCAGCCGACGACCTTTGCAGCGGAGCTGGTGGATGACTGGATGCGCAGATCTGGGGGAGATGAAAGGGAGATATGTGATGCGTATATCTGGTCCATTCTTAAGCGGAAGACGGAGGGATCGGGTCAGTTTTTGAGGAAAACACAAATTGGTCATAATTTTGTAATTAGAAACTTGGGGAGTTATATTAGTGCCATTGTTTCTTCTTTATTACCTTTTATTTAAGGTTTTTCATAAAGATTAAGAAAAGTAGTTGAAGAGATTATATGTGTACAGACTAATACAGGGAGTAGTCACCACTTCATCTTAGAAAAACCTTTAGACAGAATCTATATGCGAGCTGCGAGCATAACCTCATTGAAGTAACCTTTAGACAGAATGCAAAACACAGAGCCTCCTTTTATTATATAAATAATTTATATGCGTGCATAAGAAACATCCAACAAAAAGGCTGGCTCATGTTCATGTAGAATGACTAAATCAAGACTTAATCAACCTCACCAAGTTTCAAATCAACTATAGCAAAACCATTATGTAAATTGCAAAGGGCATTATTCTCAGGTACTTTTCTTGACTTCAGCAGACTTGATAATGTCAATGAACTCCGGCTGCATATATCAAACAGAATGAAAAACTAACAATGTCAAAGGCACATGCACACACACACATTTATATCAACTTGGGAGAGCCGGAGAGGGGATGATTTTTTGGATGGCAAATTACCTTGAGAGAAGCTCCTCCCACCAGAAACCCATCAACATCAGGTTTTGCTGCCAATTCTTTGCAATTTGCACCACTTACTGATCCTGCAAAATAAAAAAAAAATGCTGAATTAACTTAAGAGATCAATTGGAACTCCAAAAATGAAATACAAAGTAGTGGCGAAGTTTGGAACAAAATAAAATATTGAGGGTCAGGTCAACAATCAATTCTAGATTCTCGTTAAAACTTAATCTTTTATATTTCTATTATATAAGGCTAACAAATATAAAGACTATGATTGAAGCAAGAGCATTTGGGTGTTGGTTTATAAAATTTTTGGCATAGTTAATGAATCTATGATTGTTGTTTTTGCTAACAATTCTACAATAGGTGTATTGGTTTATAATATTTATGAAATAACTAATAATTACGTGACTGAATTATTTTTTTCATCATTTTTAATATATTTAGTTTATTAGATATCATTAGCACTTGGCATTGATATTTTACTACGTAGTATTTCAGAATAAGTTGGCTAATAGTTCCTGTTAATTAGTAAATCTAGTTGTGTTTGTTGACTTCTATTCAAGGGTAATATATACCTTTTTTGTTTATAATTACTTTACCTGGTTAATTTTTTGACATAGTTATAGTTCACAGAGATACTGAGCAGATATTTTTTCCCGAGCATGAATGGCAATGGCCGCAATGGTGGCCAGAGGATTCCTTGGGAGGTTGGAAGGAATCTTTGGGTTTATATAGAGCCGAATGCAAGATTGGAAAACCTCTTTTGTTTGTACTACCTATATAATACTACCTCCGATCTTTTTTAATTGCAACAATTTGACATTTCACGACTTCAACTACAATTCTATTTAATTGTGTATTGGCAAAATATATAAATGGTAATCTTTTGAAAATTTACATTACCAAAGTAAGGTGCATGAATATTCCAGAAGTCAATGTGTTACAATTAATAAAAATGGAGGAATTATATAATAAGCGTAGTTGTGTAATTGGCCTTATATAAAAATATAATTTGTTAAGACTGTTATTCTCTTAATTTATAAATCTTAATAACATTTTTTCATTTTAAGACTATGTATGATATGCCTAGAGTGCATCATTGACCATTTTTTATATCAAATCTGATTTTCCTTTTAAAGCCAAATATCTAAACTTATTATCCTTGACATTTGCTCCCTCTTCGTAGATGATTTGTATTCCAAACATACCATGGTAAAAAATGTTGTGATGAAAGGACCTCGTAAAGGCTGTGGACCAGCCCCTATACAAGCTGATCCCCAATCCCTCATGGTAAATCGTAAAAGGAAAAATGGGCTGTCCCCAGGGATCAGGCCCATATGTATCACTGCACCCGGCCAACACAGGAGGTAGGTGCTCTCATACCATAACTTAGTCAATTGTCAAGACAAAGAGAGAAGGAAAATGTAATTTCCCATATGATGAGCAATTCAAAATCCCAAGGACTAGTTATTCATATCCAAAAAGTTGAGGTAATATATTTGTAGCATTACGAGTAAGAGTCCTAAGACTTGATTACATGGGATTTGAAGTCATATATGCACCAGATGTACCAAGTCACAAAAGATTTACCTCCATAGATGATCCTGGTGGAAGACGCCACATCAGAGCTCACATTTGCTTCAAGCCATTTCCTTAATTCAGCATGTACCTGTTATTCAAATATCATTTATAAACACCAGATTTCATACCAAATAACCCATAGCGATCAAAATCCAATCTAGATTAGTTTTAGAAATGTTTCTCATCTAACTATCTACGATCTAACACTAGTCTGGACAAATACAAAGTCAAGTAGTTTTTGAAGGAAACGGCTGACCAATTATTAATACGTAGTTAAATGCAATTAGTTAATTTTAAAAGAAGAAAGCATTTACAAGAAATATGTATGGTACCCCCCTGTTATGCCTGCACAAAAGATCATGTTGCCTAGAAAGTATGGTTTCTGCTAATGATAGCACATCTTCCTGAACCAAAGGTTCATTTAAAATTTATATTTATTAATGACACTTGAAAGCTAACCAGTTTATATATACCATAAACGGACTTCATAATTTATTAATTTCTAGGGAGAAGTACAAAAATGGTAATTGAGGTTGTGAGCATTTTCAAAGAGGGCGGGCGGGTATAAGATTCATTTTCTCACAAATTGGGGCATGTGTTTTCAATCCGTTAGCATCCATGGAGCCTCAGTCTAAACTACGTAAAGAGAAAGCGATGTGCAACCTTTTAATACATCCACATCGCCTTCTTTTCAACGGCGTTTAGACGGAGACCCCCAAATTGGAAACACATGCCCCCACTTTGTGAAAAAATGAATCTTGGACCCTGTTTGAAAATGTGCACAACCAAAATTACCTTTTTTTGAACTTATCCCTAATTTTTATTATTGCAATCCTGGTAAATGTCATTTAGTTAAAACATATGCACCCAAATTGTTCGATACACTTTCCAGTTAAATAAATTATTGGGAATCATTAAGTTCTAGTGCACACATTTAAAAACTAACATTACAGTAAGGCATTTGAACTTACTTCCTGGGCCTGGGCAGGTGAAGCAACCTTTCCAGTTCCAATTGCCCAAACAGGCTCATAGGCTAGGACAACTTTAGTCCAGTCTGACACTCGCGCTGCAAATTCAGAGAGAATAATAATAATTGGAAATAGACTACAAGTAGAGGTAAAAATGTTACTGGTAAAACAGATATAAAAAATGAGTCATAACGAAAATAAAGAAATAGAGAGCACTATGAGAAAGATCCAAATGACAGAAGTTAAAGAGGCTCAGATAAAGATGGGCGGAATGTCCAAATGGCAAACCAATCGAGGCTTAGAGAAGTTGATGAGAGAGGGGTGCCAAGTGGGTCAACACGTTTCTTGAGCAAGATTTAGAGAATTAGCAAAATGCCGACGAGTTGGCGCAAGAATACTCTTATTCCCTTATTAGTCATACCATGAAACTTTGGGAGCGAGTGACTGAGCAAAGTCTCCCAAGAAGTATGAAGATTTCAGAGAATCAATTTAGTATTATGCCTGGTCGCTTAACAACGGAGGTTGTTCACCTTCTTAGGTGACTTGTGAATAAATGTAGAGACACTAACAAAGATTTGCATTTGATGTTCATTGACTTAGAAAAGAAGTATGATAGGGTACCTCGAGAATCCTTTGGAGGACCTTAACTAGAAAAGGCATATCACGTAAATATATCAGCATCATCATGGATATGTGTGAGGATTGTACTACAAGTGTGCGTACTACCTTACTAGTGTAGGGAGGACTGAAAAATTCCCTATTACTATCAGTGCCCAAGGATCATCACTAAATCCTTTGGGCTCCATAATATTGATTGTCTCAGAAAAGAAATTGATTGGACTCCGTCAATTGATTGTGCCCAAGAAGAAGTGCCCAACGGATCATCACTTAAATCGTTGGCTCCATAATTCAGAAAGACGGTAAACTAGACGGAGATTATCTTAGAAAAGAAATCACGTGAATGAAATAGAAGAGTGCATCAGAATTTATGTGTGATCGAGGTATGCCTACTAGATTGAAGGGTAAGTTTTATCAGACAACAACTAAGTCTGCATCACGGTTTGACGTATAGTATTGGGCAATGATATAATGTCAAATTCAAATGATGAGTGTGGTTGAAATGCACATGTTGTGTTGGAAATGAGACAATCACACAAAAAGTGGGAGTAAGACCTATTGATAATAAGATGTGAGAGTCTCGATTGCAGTGATTTGTTCATACGTGTAGAACACCGAGTGATGTACCTGATAGACGAGTTAAGAGGTAGGGAGAAGAGGTGAGGAGATGAAGACTCAAATAGACATGGATTAGAGGAGTCAGGAGTGATACACTTTTTCTTGGATTGGATGAGAATATGACTTTGAAGGGAGCAAAGTAAAAGGAGAATATTCGTGTAAAGGATTGATATCTATTCTTTCTCACGTTCAGACGTCCTTTATCTTTTTATCTTCATCTTTCCTATGTTTTATCCTTTTTATCTTATATTTTTATTCTTTTTATCTTTTTTTTACTCTACCGTATCTACCTATCTTTCTTATCTTTTAGCTCCAATTTTATGTGACGGTTCATGTAAGCCAGCCCCAATCTCTTCTTGGACTAAGGCTTGTGTGTTGTTGTTGTAGTAGAGATCACACAAGCTTTGTTATATACTTATATGTAAGTATCGGGGGTAAATTCACCTGCAATTGCCTTGGTTTGAGCAGCAACAACATCCACCGTAGTTCCTGCTTCTCTCTGTTCAAGTGTTTCTCCAACACAAGCAATGACCTTCAAACCTTGAGAAAGAGCATAAGCTACTTTGTCCCCAACAACCTGACATATGACTATTTGGTCATTTACCTGATCAACTAAAATATGAACACACTACAAAGATAGATTCTTTCCACATGATAGATACCTCATCTGATTCGCCTAAGATGAGTCTTCTTTCTGAATGACCAAGAATGACCCAAGGAATCTCCAGATTGACAAGCATTTCAGCACTACAAATATTTAATCAGTGTAAGTAGTTTTAAAAGAGTGTAGTCAAAGAAAATATAAATCAAACTATCTATACATATATGTGAAACAAAATACACAAAAGGTCAATTTATCTGCTTAGAATCTGACCAAAACTAACAAACAAATACTAGTAAATAACAATTACAAGCAAGATAGAATGACAAGAGTAAATAACAGAAGTGAGAGTTAAAATCACCATAGCTGTGCTGAAACAACAGAATGAACAATGCCACATACCTAATCTCACCGGTGAAAGCGCCACCTTTCTTGATCCAACAATTCTGGGCAGCCACATGGAACTCAGGTCGGAGAGAACCTTTTACTAATGGCAGAAACACATATGGGGGGCTCACAACAACCTCTGCAAAAGAATGAGATTAGAATAAATGAAACAATTAAAAAGCAAATTTTGCCACTTAATAGAGATATCTTTGTACATTTATTCAAGTGATAAGTGAAAACAAGATTGTGACATCTACACATCATCACTACACATTATTACATGAAGGATCACATATCTTTTTAAAACATTCTTACTTCTGCTCTTTTATAGCAAAACCAAGCCAATCAATGAATAAACAACAAAAAGCTAGATAACCTAATAAAAAGAGCACATACTACTATAATTGTAGCGTACCATAAGAGTTTCAGAAATTTCTAACAAAAGCATTCTATCTGATATCTCGTCCATTAAGCCTTTCATAAAAAACTAAAGCCTTATCTACAAAGAAACGAAATTGCAGTATAGAAGTAAAAAGACAATATCCTGCCTGCTGAGCATGGAGAACATTGACTTACCAACAACATCCTGAGGTGGAACTTCGCCAGCATTGAGTGTTGATACAATCTTCTTCACCTCTTCACTAGTGCCATTCTGCGGTTGTTCATTACAAAACAAGATTCAGGGCAATACACAAAGGAGAGACTAAATATTGATCCATAATCATAACTCATACCCATCATTCCATAAATTAAAAGATCAAAACTTCACATTGACAAACACAGAGCGCGCATATGTAAGCTTAATCATGATCACACAGTATGCCCACTACAGTTTACAAACTACACTACTAAATTCAGACTTGCATCCGAAATACACGTAGTGGCTACAAACCGCCTAAATAAAGCAATGATTATATTCCACGGATCCAACATTTAAAATAAGCATGTACGGCAGCAAATCAGTAGCTTAACCAATAAAAGTGCAATTCGAGTTTACAATATAATGATCGGGACAAGGACAACAGATTTAGGGATCAGTAGAAACTCACGCATTTCCAGTTGCCGCCGACGAAGAACTTCCGGCCCATATCTGAAGATGATGAATACGAACAAGGAGGACCACGAGATTACGCTCCAAGAAAAAGATTAAAAAGTCAATAGACGATGGCGAAAGACTCCGTATAATTTATAGAGATTTCAATATTTCATCCTGCGCCTCAAATTGCCTATTTTTTACTCCGTATTTGGAGTCCATTTGATATACTATTCCGTATTTGCAATATCAATTGATAGTATTTTTTAGCAAATGCCTAATTTTTAATTTTGTGTGTTAAATTGTGTAATAACTACTTTTTATTGAAATAATTTAACTTACTCGATCATTTTAATTATTTCTTCATTAAATTTTTTCTTCATTTTATTAACAAAAAAAAATTTACATATAATTTTATTCACAATTGATTCTATCAACTCAACCACTCTAACTAGAATTTCATCAAATTTAGCATATTCAGTCGGTTAAGTCAATTTCAGGATTACCACACATACTCTTAATTGTTTCAAAAAAATATCATTTTTTATTTAGATTAATAAATATGTAATTGAAATTATTTCTCCCTATTATATATAAATTTCAATCTCACAAATTTTACTTTATTATTTTACGCGACAATCAAATCTAACCAAATTTGATTTAAAAAAGTATAAACAAGGTGGATCTAAAATAGTAAACTCAATATTATGTGACGGCCTGTGGAATGACTAGTGTCCTTTGCACTCGATTTCAATGGTGTATTCTATAGTGTTGAGAATATATATAATTATGTGACGGCCAATCATAGGGAATATTCCCCAAACATTATTATATCGTCTTACATGTTTGATTCTCTCTCAGTCCCGAAAAAAGTTTGTCATAATAAATTTTCTTGGTCAATGATGACAAATTTTGGATATTATTTTAATTGTTATAGTTGTATGTAATTTATATGAAGTTTGAGATGTTTGTTATGTCTCTTAAGCTCATAGTAATTAAGAGATGTAAGTGCACGAGCATCATGGGGGCTGAAAAATTCAATGCTCTCATTAAAAAAGGCACTTGAACGTTGGTTCCTCGTACTGGCCGAGAAAACATAGTTAGGTGTAAATGGGTTTTCGTATTAAACGATTATCTAATGGAGTTATTGACAGGTACAAGCCCGGTTAGTTGCTAAAGGCTTTCATCAACGACCAAGAGTGGATTATACAGAAACTTTCAGTCCGGTTATTAAGCCAACTACCACCCGGTTGGTTCTCTCTTTGGCCGCCAGCCGCGGCTGGAAGCTCCGCCTGATTGATATTAATAATGTTTTTTTTGCAGGGTCATCTCTATGATGAAGTTTTTATGCTCCAACCCCCCGATTTTTTTATCCTACAAAGCCTAATCATATTTGCCTCTTTCATAAAGCTTTTGTATGGTCTCAAACAGGCACCCCGGGCATGGTATCAAGAACTCAAGCTAGAATTATCTTTTCAGCTTGGCTTTATAACCTCCAAAGCCGATACCTCCTTATTTGTCTATCAACATGATAATCATGTTATTTATATCTTAGTCTATGGTGATGACATAGTTATTACGGGTAGCTCCACAAACTTTATTGAGGAATTAATCACTCATCTTGGACATCGGTTCTCCCTCAAAGATCTTGGTGAATTATCCTATTTTCTTGGCATTGAGGTTATCAGCCACCCTCACGGCATTTTACTTTCTCAACAAAGGTACATTCTGGATATTCTCTCCCGGACCAAGATGAATGCATGCAATGGTGTTACTACTCCACTTTCTTCTAACTCTAAACTTAGCATTCAGTCGGGTAAGACACTTCATGACCCGGAGGAATACCGCTCGGTTGTGGGCAGTCTTCAATATGTTGCTCTTACTCGGCCTTATTTATCCTATGTTGTGAACAAACTCTCTCAGTTTCTTCATCAACCTACGACTGACCATTGGGAAGCGGCTAAACGAGTCCTTTGTTATCTTTGTCAAACATCGGATCATGCTCTCTTATTACGTCGCTCCCTGTCTCTCTCCTTGCATGCCTATTCCGATGCTGACTGGGCTGGAAATCCGGATGACTACACTTCTACTGAAGCTTTTGTCAATTTTCCCGGTCCAAGTGCATCACATGGAGCTTTCGCAAGCAACGTACGGTTGCTCGCTCCTCTACTGAGGCTGAGTACCGTTCCATTGCTACCACCGCTGCCGAACTCCGATGGATCCTATCTCTTCTAACCGAATTGCGTGTTACTATTCCTACTCAACCAACAATCTATTTTGATAATGTTAGTGCTACACATCTCTGTGCTAATCATGTGTTTCACTCTCGCATGAAGCATTTTGCATTAGACTATCATTTCATTCGAGAACATGTTCACAATGGCATTCTTCGGGTCTCTCATGTTCGCTCTGAAGATCAACTGGCTAATTCTTTAACCAACCCTCTCCCACGTCGCCGGTTTCATGATCGTCACATCAAGATTGGAGTTATTCTTAGACCCTCCATGTGACACCGCACCCGAACATCCTTGAAAATTCAATTTAAAATTCAAAGACTACGTATTGAATTTCCGACTTCCAAACAATTGTAAAACGATTAATGTTTTACGTAGTGCATGATTGAATATTGTACTGTTCGAACTTGTATATTAGTGTCGGGTTTTGAAAATACTTATTTGGGCCTTATTAATGAACATAAGAGCCCAACATTACCTAAATAATGTTACTTAACCTTTCAAGACAATATGAGGAAGGTCGGGCGGCCCAAACATTATTTTGGGCCCAACCTGCTAAAAATAGCAAGTATTCGAGAATGGCGTCCTAGACCCACTCGGGAGTGACCCACACGGCTAGTAGCCCAATAATATGTATGACAAATGTCAAAATAAGTGATAGGATGATTTGAGAAGAATACAAATGCCTATAGCCCCACCAAGTAAATTATTGAGATGAACCTACACATATTGGAGATCAATAATGTGATGTAGGAAGTTGACTTTTTCTAAATAAATTAGGATGAGTACAAAAAGACATTTTTGACAAAAGATAAAACAATAGGTCGCATCTTCCCATTTTTGGAAGTATTGGTAGATATTTTGGACCCCAAAATATTTGGGATCAATTGGGAACCACTCCACATGATATTAGTACCTGCAAGACAAATACAAATGGGTGAGAGGACTTACCTTGGCCGTCCAGCTTGGAGAGGAGCTGCACAAGACATGATTAGCATCAACTTAGGGCCACCATGAGCAGTTTTCGCACAAATTGGTGTGCTGTTTGTCTCCACTAATTATGGGAGTTATACTCGACCAAACAACGTGAATGAGGTGTCCTTGGATATCCTTTGAAGTCTAGTTTCATATTTGAGTGGTCTCTGTGCGAGAGGGGAGAGTTTATAACACAAAAATCGAGCTGGAGTGAACTGCTGTCTGTAAACTCGAGCAGTGAGAGTGCTGAGGCTGTTTGGTTGATATCTCGAGTTATACCAATCCAATTAAGTCGTGTAAGATACCAAAAGAAAGCTCTCAGGACGAGGAATCCGTGAAGGTCTGGTTTGCATCAATCGGAGTAGTGGAAGGCCTCCAAATAGTCCGATAAAAACACAACCTCGCAGAAACGGATCTACTCTTCTAAAGTGAGTTGTTAACCCCAAAACCTTTCCTTTCATTTTCCAAATGATATGAACGATTGGTGGAACTATTATACACTAATCCAAGTTTATAATCTGTCCTTATAAAGTTATTATTATATATGTAAAGGTTAGATACTAACCTAGAGCAAATCTTGGAAAACTAGGAAACGAGTTAGCCGGAAAACACCCATTCTAGGGGCTGTTTTCATACCAAGGATTAAGGGTTGAACTAGCACTTTGAGGAGGCTGTTTGACACTCATTTCTAAGCAAGGAATCAGTTCTCAAGCTTCCTTGGCCGAGGCTTTGGTCATTGGATTGAGAAGGAAAGTTTTAAAGCTCATTTGAGGTGAGGATTGACATCTAATTTCTTACAACTTGTAGGTTAAATCATAATTTTTCATGGATTATGATGATTAAATATTGATGAAATATGGATATAGTTCCCAAAGAATGAAATTGGAAATGATTTGAGGAAGTATGAATAATATGAGATTAAATGAGTTATAAATGAACTATTTTGTGAAATAGAGATTTCACTCATGTATGAATTATGTGGATACATAAATGAATATTTATGTATTGAAATTGAATACTTAAATTGCTGCTACATGCTTATAAATATGTAGAGAATTACAAAATGAGAGTATTTGTATGATAACAATAATCTTAATAGTATTGAAATACTAGTTAGTGATTATTGGAAATTGGTGATAGAATTGATCTTAAGGATTGGATTGTATGAAATGCACTTGAATATACTTCAAGTGTGTATAATGACTTAGTATGAGACTAAGGTTAAGTTATGGGCAGTCTTTAAGGATGACCCATGGTAGTTTATTGATATGTCAATTCTAGGCATAGGGTTGTTTAAGAATTGGACCTTGGTGCATGGTGATGTGATAGAGCCGAACTCTAGAATGCATGGTAAGGTGGTAGACTTGTAGTCTATGTATGATATAACTAGATCCGAGCTCTAGGGCTTGCGTGGTGATGTGATAGAGCCGAGCTCTAGAACGCAAGGTAAGGAAATTGACCCAAATTACATGAATTGTATGGTGATGTGGTAAAGCCGAGCTCTAGAATACAATGTCATGTGTTAGGGTTGGACTCTATGAGTTGTCGTGGCTTATAGCCACGGGGAATGGGAATGGTGATTTCTAAATGAACATGGGCCCACGGGCCGACTACTTGACTTTTATATAAAGTAAGTATATTTTCAAACGGGGTAACTTAGGGTTACAAATCATAATGTACTATCACCTTATTTGAGGGTCTTGTGTTTGAAATACTTGTTGTATATCTATTAGATGTCTGCCACACCAGTACTTTATAGCCGTATAGAGTACTGACCCCTTCGGGGGCATCCCACCACCATTTCAGGTTGAGGCTAGAGCTTGCATCTTGTGCTCGTTGATTGAGTGATTCCTCGGAGAGAAGACTTGGTTCGTGCTTCCTCCATTCTATTTGAAACATTAATAAACTTGCTCATGGATATTTTATTATAGAGCCTACGTGCTCATGAATAGCCCTGTGTGGCCCTTTTGTTTTAAACAATGTTATCCGCTTTGTTATTATTACTTATTATGTTTGTTTATGGATGTTATATG